GGTTCTCAAACTATGGTGGTACACAGGCTCCCTCTAGTGGTACTCTTAGGAATTAAAAAACTAAAATAAATTTGTTTAAAAACATATAATACCACTAATATACTACACATTTTCAATTGAAATAAAAATACGAGAAGTTTTGCATTTAGTTTCAATATCAGCCTGCTACGTAGTCACGTTCATGCACATAGCACACACTTACGTCCATGATTAGTTACGAGCTAAACACGAGCTAAAATATGGACCAGGAGTAGCCCTTTTTTACCAGATTATACTTTCTGAGGCGGTACACGTGTAAAAAGTTCGAGAAACACTGACACTTGGACCCTTCATATCAGAATATAAGAAATATTGTCTTCCATCTTAGTCTTACATCTTTAATTACTTAATTATTTAATTTAAAATATGAACTAATATTAATGTATCAGTCTTAGAATATCCTGTGACCCTGTCTGCATATCAAGTCCTGAATGTTAAGAAACCCACAATAAACAATAAATGCACTGTACATAAGGACAGAAATACAAGAACACACACATTTCATCACAAGTGTGTGTCTCTGTCTCCTCATTCCATGAGGCTCACAGAGTCCAAACTGGGCTCATGGGCCGAAAATAATAACATTAAAAATCATCAGCTCAGAGCTAATCCCACCACGGCCTGTAAACATTTTAATACCGTGGTGATTAGCAGTGATCCTAAACCCTAGACTCCCACCCTCCCTCCCAGGCTACGGCTCCTCTCCCACCCCAGCTTCGACTCGCCATCCCTGGGGGAGGCGGCCAGGCGAGTCCCTGGATTAAGGCCACTTGGTGCTTTGGACCCTCGAGCCCCTGAAAGTTAAACCCCTGGACACTCGCCACTTCATTTCTCTAAGTGGCATCAGCCTCCTTGTTATGATTGTTAATTAAAGTTGGATTTAATCAAGTGGCTTTTTGGCAAAAAAAAAGCCACCATTTTATGTTCTTTTTTTAGTGTGTGAGTTGAGTGGGGTTTTGGAATAGTGGAGTCTTTCTGTCGATCAGTTTATATCCGTCCTTTTATTTCTGTGTGAGAAAGTGGGATGTTGTGTTTTGGGGGGTAGGGTGCTGATTTTTCAGATGAGCGAGCAGATGTTGCACCTTCTCAAGAGGGATTTATGTCAGGATAGGAACACACATACACACACACACACACTGGGCTGCATGTCATTATGTATGCATTTCAACAGTCAACAACATCTACACACTGTAAAGACAGGAGACAGACCCGGAAAGTAACACTCTACAAACGTGCTGCTTTCAAGGAAACATTTAACTTAAAGCGATGGAATGATGACTGACTGCTCATTGGAGATTTACTCAGTGTTTGGGTAAACTAACTGCTTTCTAGCTTCAAAGGAGGACTACATAAAGTCTGAAACAAAGTAACACAATCTTCCTCTTTTGCCGCTACTGCTTTACTTGGTGTGGTATGACCAGTAGCTAATGGTGGCTAATGTTATCTTAATACACTGAAACGTAGATAGCTATGGCTGCATAGCTGACATTACTGAGGCAGTTTGCTGACTTTGCTGCTTATCACTGTATTTTTACAGGAAAACATTTAAATGGTTATGTCACTTAAAACAGGAAGTAAACACACCGTACCTAACCAGGAGATGTGTTTGTTAATGGTGTCCTGCTTATTGTCCCATTCTTGTGGGCTCTTGAAAGGCCACTGCACTGATTCAACACTGCACTCCTATAACATTATTGGACTCCCCATGGAATATGTAGCGGTTATTGTAGCCTTGAGCCGCTAGCCTCATGAGGAGTGGGCTACAGAGGCCTGGGTACAAGTACAAGTTTTTTCACATATGAAGTAGTGCTCCCCAACACCTGTAAACAGACTTTGATGTGTAGATTGGGCTGTATATTGGCAATAATCTGGCAACACGATATGTATCACGATCCAGGGGTTATGATTTGATATATTGCAATACTATAAGCAAGGTATATATTGCAATTTGCAATAAATAGTTAACACTTTACTTGTTCATGCAACCATAACAGTGGGATCTGCATTTGTATTTATTATAGTCCCTTTAACATCTAGCATCATAGCCCTCAGTTTATGTTTACAACACTGCTATCTAGCAGCTGGGGCTGCAAATACAAAAATCAATAGTGTTTTGGAGAATCGATACAATATCACAAAAGCAAAATATCACAATACAATATTTTTTGATATTGTCTTACACCCCTATTCGTAGAGTGACATAGTTACTTGTCTTCATTTGCCTTCAAAACACAGTACATCCACTGTCATAATTTAAATAAATATTTTTTTCTTAAAACAATTAAATACAAAAGTGCACATGAATATACACAGCACATGCTTTACAGTGAACACAGTACATTAGTCCTTACTCTGAAAACAACATTTTAGCACAGGAGCCCAGATCTTAGCAAACTGCCTCTATAAAATCTCAGTCTCTCCAGATGTAATGTGTTCAACCATTTCTCTCAACGACAGAAGGTACAGAGTCCATTTTCCACACTAGCAAAATTAACTTTTTTGCAATCACCATTCCAAACAAAACAACCTTTTTTTTTCAGACTTACTGGCAAAAGATAATGAGCTAGTTGCTCCAAGAACAGGAACAAGTCAGGTTCCTACTGCTTCCCAAAAGCCTAAGAAACAAAAAGAAAGGCTTTTTTCAATATGTGTAAAGTTTAGTCCAGAAAGAATGTGTTGGATTACTGATCATAAAGTTACATCGACTACATGCAGGTGAGACATCATGGAAATAGCTGTGCAACTTTTCCCTGGAGTAATAAAATCTGTTTAATGTTTTAAACAGTATAAGACTATGTCTAACATTGACTGAGCCATCATGTATATTCATTAGAAATTCATCCCAGACCTCATCTTTTAAATCCACATTCAGCTCGTCCACCCATGCCAAAATCCAGTTAACACTGATGCCAAATTTATCCTGAAACCCAATAATGCCATTGCTCATTGGTTTGCAATATTGCCCGCAATGATCTAGCATGCCCAGAAATATATGCTAGCTACTATGGTCCAAACTGTATGGTCAATTCTGATGTCATATCACCACTTACCTGGTGCATCTGCTGCTCCCGGTTAACACTGTTTTGGGGATATGTTATTGTGTTCACCTCTTCCAGCAATCGCCCAAGTCCTATTCCTCCCAATCACCCCTTAGTCCTCACACCAAAGAAGAGGCAGAGCAGGCCTGGAGAGCCAGTCACAAGAAGCCGTCTGCAGGCCTGTCCCGCACTTCAAACCTGCACCGAGCCGGCAGCATCAAAGACCTGATCAGTAAATTCTCTGGTCAGGATTACATCTCTTCTTCCGGATCTCCAAAGAGCCCCACTTCTGGAGCAGAACGAGTCCTAAAGTCTGTTTCCATGGAGGCTCTCGCGTCTCCGAAGTCCAAGTCGAGTCCATCCACACCGACCAGTGTCGGACAAGAAGAGAGTCCAGTTCCCAGCATCACTGTGACCCCTCCGTTCAGGGAAAGCAGTCAGAACAGGGTGCAACCAGCTCAGAAAGATCCTAAAACTAGTCAGATCACTGCAAGAATCGATTGTCCAGTAGGAGGCAGCGCTGAGAAGACCGATTCAAAACCAAGGAACCAAATGCAAACCACACACTCTGGTAGAGACTCGGTGGCTGACTCCGGCATGGGATCGGTAAGCAAAAAGAAAAAAAGTCCCGACCGACCATTCTGAAGTCCTTGCATGAGTTGAAAAACCTCTCTGCGTGAAGATGGCACGACAGCATGGCACTGCAGCTTTTTCTCAATCCGCATGACGACTCAAAAGCATGAAACCGTGGCAAGATTCTAAAGCACATGCTCTTCAATCGTACTAATCAAAATGGCTTAAAACGCACTGACAGATTTAACTCTCACTCTTCTCTTTGATTCTCTTCCTGTAAATGTTGCCATTTTTGTCTTTGGTCGAAAATAATGACTTTCACACTGAGACTGTGTTGATTTTTACTGCATGAAAGTGATCTTTTGTGCGTTGTTGCCTTCTGTTTGCTTGAGTTTCTGTCTGATAATTTGCTTGGTGAGAAACAGCAGTCCAGCGGCTTATTGTGGCTTATTATCCACAGTGTGTGCAAAGGTGTAACACAATCATTATTTTACAACTCACAAGAAAGTCATAGCTAAATGATGTAGCTATGCTTTAATAAAAATTCCTGAAGTTAAATCATTTTTCAATCATTGTAATTTTTTTCTTTTTTCACTTAAAAATACCCTTCTGTATATGTGATATTTTTTCTTTTTGTACCATATTTTCTCTCTGCTTTCGATCACTGGCACCACTAGCACATGCTCAGTGAATTCATCCTTATCGCTTCTATACATTTGTGTACCTTGGTTTATTAGTGCATTTACTTACTACTGCTATACTACTCTCTTTCTCCTCCAGGAGACTGAATTCGATTCACACAAGCAGCCAGACAGCCCATCAGAGGACGAGCCCTCCACACCACGGGCCGTGCCGACCAGCCAGAACCCAAAATATCAGCTGTTCCTCAACAACGAGATGAGGACCAATGGGGTGAGCAGCAGGGATGCAGATGGTCCGGGAAGCGGCGGGTCGGTGGGGGAGAACGGCCCCAGGCTGGCCCGATGGGAGACCAACCGGCTGGGGACGAACCACTACCGAGGGTCTCTGGAGTCCCTGGCCTCGAGGGACTGGGACACTATGTCTGAAAGGGTGGGTGAGGTGGACCAGGGACTGTGTTTGTGTGTGATTCAGATCAGGGAGATCAGATGCTGTTTTACAGCTGGATGTGTGTGAATAAACAGTGCCATCTCCTGGACAAAACACTCAGTGCCCTCACACTGCAAAAAGCTCCATCTTTTTATTAATGCTGAAACCTAAAAGTCTTATTTTCTTGAAAAATGAATAAATCTTGTCTAATAACTTTCATTATTCTAGTTCAGCAATCTTATTCTATCATGTTCCAAAAAACATCTTAAAACAAGTTGGTTTGTATTAGAAATCATCTCAGTGGACTGGCAGAATTATTTAAAAATACTTCTAGGACTCAATAATAAACCAAAGATATTTGGTAATGTAGAGACTTTTGGTGTAGTTATTACAAACTTGTCAGTACACAAGTTTTTCACTGTTGTCTGGTCTTTTACCAAGTTCTGAGAAAAAGTCTCAGGACCCCAAACAAGTTCAAGTTCATTTAAAAACTCTCTAATTAAATCTTATTAAAATTAAAAGAATTGCACTTTTTATTAAGCGTTAAAAAATTAAATGGTTAACATACAGTAATACAGCAAATGACCCAAAATAGAAATCTATCCTGTGTTAGTGCATCTAGAATGTATTTCCAACTGCTCTCCCTCTGCAATAATGTAACACACATACATCTTTCTCATTTACAGGTTATAATGTCATAATCCGTTAAAAAATATTAAAATGATAAATGTCTTATGCAGCATTTGTAAAATACACTTTTTCCTTTCCAGTCATTGAACAGCGCCCTCTACAGGACGTTACACAGACTTAAGGTTTCTTACTGGCCGTCTTAGTTACCTGACTCTTGCCACAAGATTCAGTTAAACCAGAGTTTCTCAACCTCTACTGGCTCTTCACCCTGTTTTTAAATACAATAACTATAATTCTGAACACCCTCAACAATAAAAGATCTGTTTAATTAAATTATGGTTGAGAAACTCTGAATTATACAGTGACACAATCCCTTCATCCTGCATCACATCATATCTAATCAATATAGACACCTTAAGCACTGACTGTCATATATGTGCATCTGATTAGCTGTCTTTCAACAGTAATTTAGCACAAGTAATCATTTGTAACGAGCCAATGATATCATCATGCTGTGATATATTAGTGTAATCTATTAGTGTAATTACTTATCTCCTACTAGCAATACAATTGTGGCTTGTTGTTGATTGTTGATTGTTATTTCATTTGATTTAAATCATATTTGAATATGAATTTAGAAAACTTTAGTGTTAAATGGATTACATTAGCAGGACTGTTGCCCACAATATAGTCTTTGCTTCTGTTCCTTTCTATTTAATATTGAAGTAAAAGTTAATGCAAACCAATAACTGTGGCTAGATCAACACGTACTGCACTGTGATAGTTGGCTGTTGTTTGCCTTGTCTCTCTCTCTCCTTTTATTATTGATTGGAGGTATACAAACCTAAAAACTGTGTTTGTTTGTTTACAGTGTGGTAATGTTGACAGCTCTCCCAGGGTGTTCAACAGTCCGTATGCCACGGCCACCTCCATGGATTACAACCCCATGTACCGAATGTCTGAGTTCAAGGTTTGTAATTTGGAGGGAAAACGGTTTCTTATTTCTATATCATAGAGAGATTATTTGTTTGTTTCACTTCTTAAGTTTTCGAAATACTCCTAATGTCACATAAACTTGATAAATTGATTTTAAACATTTGAGATTATTAATGAAACCCTCGGAAAGTCTTACTGAAACCAATGTTCTGTCTAAAAGTTTCTAACATTAACTAAGAAAATAGCGAGACTGACGCATGGTTGTAAACACTGCACTGGGGCCTGTGGAATGGGGTGCCATACAAAGAGCGGTATAATACTCAGTAGCAATCTATAACAAAATAATATACGTCTACATAAACTATATAAACTATAAAAAACAATTCATTTAAATCAATTTATTAAATCAGTCATTTCTTTGATATTTGTGTCGTATACAGAGCAATGATTGCTGGGTAATATGTATATGTAATATGTATGTTGATATCTGGGTTCAGGGTGGACTGTCCCCTGCCACCTCAGAGATGAACCTGTACGGCTTCAACAGTCGCAGCACCAGTCCAGTGGGCATGGGCACTCCCACCCTCACCTCCCGCCCCCGCTTCTCCACCTACGACACCCTGGTGAGGAGGAGGACCGAGATCAACAGCACTGTAAGTCTACTACACTCCTACTACTATAAATACACACACCGGTAACACACACTCCACCATCACGTCCACTCTGTTTAATGTTATTATATATAATATCCCTGTTCATATGCTACAGGTGGTGCCCTCCCACACCCACACCCACTACAGCATGCGCTCTGCCACTCTGGGAGCCCCCAATAAAAAAGACTACATAGAGGAGTTGACCAAGCAGCTGGACGCCTGCCAGAAGGTAGACCTCGTCAGATGCATTATGGGATTCAAACACACGTTGTTCTGCTGTAAGAATAAATAGTGTTTTAGCAGAGGTCTTGAGCCAGAATGTCTGCTGGGTGAAGCTGCAGCATGGAGAGGTTTTGGGATTTGAACCCATGCAGTCACAGCTGTTGTTATTCTAGAAAAGAAAACATTTTGATGGTGCGTTTATGTTCTCTCCAGCGTAACCAGTTCCTGGAAGCAGAGAGTGTGGAGATGGAGAAGGAGAGGAACCAGATTAGGTCGGACATGATGTTATTTTTCTTTCTGTCTTATTCTTTTTCTGTTTGCTGGCTTTGTCTTCTGTGCTTTCTACTTGCCTTTTCTCTTTCTTATGAAACTGCCTTTAAAGAATTACTATTATTATTATTATTACTAAAAACAGAGAATTTGTACATATATGTATATAAAATGTAGATTTTTGTTAAATTGATCCAACACATTTGAAAGTAAACAACACTGTACCCTTTGCTGTACAAACTCAGAAATGAATACTGACCTCCACTGGTTGAATTTCCCACCTCCCTGCAGTGAAGAAACTGTAGTCGGCTAACTACCAGCAAAATGTCTTTTCTCAGCCGCATATCCATTTCATAAAATTAGCTTCTGTTTGATTATTCCAAGTCCTTACCTCAAAGGAATCAAGTGTTTCTGTGTTTGGCCAAGTGCTATTAGTGTAATTTAAATAAACATAGTACACTATTTAACAATTAAATCCATGTAATTGAAGAAATACTTTATTGATCCCCTAGGGGGAAATTGTTTTTTTATACACACACACACACACACACACAGGCTGAAATGCACACGTGGACATGCAAAGGATGGGGCTTGCCGCATTACCAGCCCCCATGAGCAGTTTTCTGGGTTAGGTTTGCCTGCCCCCAAGGCACCTTGGCAGGTTGCACAGGGAGGTGAACTGGCACCTCTTCAGCTACCAGTCCACACTTCCATATTTTCGTGGTCGTGGGACCTTGGAACCTCCGTCCCCAAGCCAGGTCCCTAAACACTGAGCTACTGCCAGCTACTGCCGCCCCTGAGCTACTTATAATATAATTGTGTGATTTAAAGGCAGCTTAGACACACAAAATCACATGAAATCCACTAGAGTCAAAAAATGTGATGGCAGCTACTGATTTGAAGCTAGCTAAGCTAGCAGCCTTTAGCAGGAGTTCAGCTTTTTCGTCCCAATTCAGAACTAAGCACCTTATTTAGATGTCACTCTTTAAATGTACCTTTGTGTACCTGTGACCACGCCCACAAGTGATGTCACACTGTACTGACCACACCTTCAGTACACTTCCGCTTAACATGCTTCTTTTTTGACAGTGTTTTCTTCTTATCGATCTATTAGCTCTTTGGTTGTTTTCTGATGCAGGACGAGGCTGTCAGAGAGTGAAGGCTCTGTTAATATAGCTTGTGTTCAGCTCTTCAAAGTTTGGATCTTAAATAATAAAGTTTTTTAGTTTTCCTCACAAAAATGAATGAAATGTTTTCTTACACCCTTGTCCCCCCGTGAAGGTTTGAGATGCGCGGCCTGCTGGTGAACAACGAGGACCTGCTGAGGACCAACACTCAGCTGACCAACGAGCTGAAGAGGATGAGAGAGCAGATGATAGAGATGGAGAGAGAGAAACAGTCCATGGGCGAGAAAGTCAGAGAGATGGAGGTGTGAGCGGATGGATGGATGGATGGATGGCTAGAATGATACTGTAGTTATCCATGTGTTTGCAGGATTAACTGTTTTCTTGTACTGTGCAGATTGAGGTGAAGGAGGCCCGGAACGTGATGGTGGAGGCAAACACTCAGGAGTACGCCTTCAATTTTCTGGAGCAGTCGCTCAAAAACAGGATCCAGGATGCTGAGGTACACTGAGTTACACAGAGCAGATACTGTAGTCAAAAACTAGGATCATTAACAAGAACGCACTGGATTAGCTGAAATCTGAAAACGAGGGGCTGTTTATCTTGGCTTAATGTTTTGGAGTGCTTGTTTATTATCAAAAGTCAGTAAATTAGTGTAAAACATACAAATTCCAGACTATCTGCACATCCATCCATCCATTTAGCTTCAACCCATAAAGGAATACTTTTCATTTGTTTGAAAACTAACATTTTGGTCCCTCTGGACCTTCGTCAGCAGTATTTATTACAGTTATTGTTCACAGTGCAATAGTTCCCATTGATTCCAGACAAAGCTGAGGCCTTTAAGGACCACATGAAACTGCTGGTATTAGCAGTTTCATGTGGTCACAGTAATAATAATTGCACAACAATACGAAAAGATCTGAGATGGTCATACATACAGGTGGAATACGGACAGATAGTGTTCATATGCAGAACATTACAGAGTGGATCTTTGATACCGGTATACACATCTGGATACAGATGGCTAAAATTATATACTTGTTTATTTAAACTTTACATGTCTGCCGTCCATTTTCAAAAGCAAAAGTCAGTTTTTAAAGACTTCCTTCTTCCAGGCAGCCATTTGTGTCTTTTAATTTGAATGATAATCAACTAGCACATATGTGTTACTCACTGATAATCAGTAAGTAACCATCAGATAATCCACTGCAGTCATCACGGTGCCTGGTTTTATTTGGGGATGCAGTTGTGAGCGTGGACCGTTTTCAAAACTCTTCCTCTGAACTGTGTGTGTGTGTGTGTGTTGTGTTTAGGAGAACCTGGAGAAGCAAACGCAGCACGCCAAGACTCTGTCTGAGAAGTTGTGGCTGACAGAGAGACAGCTGGAGGAGCTGGAGGTCAACCAAGGAACCAGAGACAAGAAGACATCTGAACTCAACAGCACCATCTTCAGGCTGGAGATGGAGGTACGGAGACAGAGACAGTTCCTTTTTTACGGGAATTTTCCTAAGACGTTCCCTGTAATTTGGTACTGTTTATAGAGAAAGTAGAAACAAAGACAGATATTTTAGTTTAGAGTTTTAGATTTCCAATGAAATGGAATTGCTTCAATCTGAATGTAGGGCTGTAACCAATGTCACTTTTTAACATTCAAAGCTTCAGTTGAGGTTTTCATGATCGTCATCGATCA